AGAACCTTGGTGTAACCCCATTACAACCGGAAAATGTNAGAGAGAGAGAGAGAGAGAGAGAGAGAGAGAGAGAGCAAACATACATTTAAATTCTGTTCTTTGGGACGGGGGAGAAGGACGAGAGGGAGAGAGGAGGAGGAAGAAAAGAGAGGTTCTATTTTTTGGGGACGGGTCGGGTAGGGTTTTTTTAAAAAAAATCAGACCGATTCGGTCGGAATTGTCATTTTAATTTTTTTTTTTTTTTAAAAGTACCGATCAAATCGGTCGGAAATGAAGTGAAACAAGTCAAACTAAATTTTTCGCCAAAAGTTGCGACCGATTTGGTCGGAAATGTGGTCGAAAGAATTTTAAAAATATATAGCAGATATTTTTTGAAAATTCCGATGGATTCCGTCGGAAATTTTCGACAAAAATTTTCAGTCAGAAATTCTTGATTTTCTAGTAGTGAGCTATTATGGAACTAAGTGTTCCGAATTTAATCTGAACCATTCCAAACCAAACCAATCATCCTTGTAAGTCATAAAACAGTAAAAGTACATACGAAAAGTCTTAAATAGGAAAATGGAGATTTATAAAGCAAAACGACCGATTGGATCATTACAATCATACAGTGGATTACATTATATTATAAAACTAAACGGATCATATGTATGTTTAGTGTATGCATCCCATAGATGCATCCCCTTGTTATGGTGATGCATTTTTTTATTGGCTGCTCTACTTGTTACCGTTAGGTGATGCATCTCCTAGTTAAAATGATGTATCCCCTAGTTATAGTGATGCATCTCCAAGGATATTTTTTATAAGTATAATTGCTTTACTTGTTCGTGTGCGCATCTCAAAATCGATCTAGGTTGTAAATTCTACCGCAAATAAAATATAAAATGTAAACACGAGATATCAATAAATAACAATTTAACTGACAGTAATAAAAAAAAAAAAGATATTAAGTTAGTTAAAATGTAGCCGATTATTTGATCAGTTACCAAATACATTTTATCTTTAGCTATTCTCGTCCAATCCTCCATGCCTCGTTACTTGAATTACAATAATGAAATATTTATATAATATATCCAATTATAAATTATAGTTACCTACATATATGTTTCATGTGATTATGAATTACAATGAGACACCTATATGATACATCTAATTATGAAATACAATTATTTGCCTATATCTTTCATCACTTTAAGATTGACTTAGATGTTAATTTGTCATATTAAAATTTTTATTAGTGTATGATGAGATAATTATTTTGAATAAACTTAGGTCTTACTTTAATAGCGAAAATCAATATTTTTAGTATATTATCGATTAATTATTTTATTATTAATTAAAGTATTACTTTTAATAGCTTAAACTAAAAAAATTATCTAATTATGAATTATAATGAGTTACTTATATGATACATCTATGAATTATATTTGCCTATCTATGGGATGCTGCTGATGAGCCAGTTAATTGTCCTTTTAGTTCCTATAGTTCTCATTTGATTTTTTTTTCCTTTTATGTTTGGTGACTCTCTTGTTAGATGTATGGTTGTATGCTAGAATCTTTAAAAAAAGATGTTAATATTAATTTTATTTTATTGTTTCAGGTCATACATTATGATGTTAAAAAATTTAGCATATGGAAGTCTTTCGTTATGATCAAGAAATTAAGCAATACTTGTTACACTTAAAATGATATTGGAATCAAATGGTTTTATTTTCTCTTATGCTGTTGACATTTTGAAATAATGGATTAGGAGCTTTAGTTGTTTGTTGTGAATTTAACGAGATATAATTTTTTTTATAGAATGATTATGTTGTTAGTGTGCTTATTACAATTTGTTTTGGTATAAAATGAATCTTTGTTGACTATAATGAAGGCTAAGGACATAAAAAGGGCAAATCTGAGTGTAGTTCAGTTGCCATTAAAATTGATGCTAAAGGAGTTCCTCTTTACCAACAATTAATTGGTCTTTAGTGGCAAGATGCCGTTAAAGGTATGAGCTTAGACAGCTTAAAAGGCATTGTAATTGCCATTAAATAATTATTGTTAAAAGTCGTCAGTAATAATTAAAATTTTAATGACACTTAATAGAATGCAACTAAAATCTTTAGCGATGTTAGATACAACTGTAAATAATTAAAGACAGTAAAGATTTTAGCAGCAATTATTATTGCTAACTAAATAAAACGGTATACATTACCGCAAAAATTATTTTTGTTGTAGTGAGTTAGTATTAACTTATATTATTAAATTATCATTAATTAACCCTTCCAATACCCTTGATTATACGTATAAATAAAATTTACATTTTTCAATCATTAGTTAAGTAATCATTCAAAGTTAAAAAAATAAATATTTTACTTTATTTTTGTAATCATATTATGAGTTTGATGTCAATAAATATTTTTGGTGTTTTTAATTAGTTGTAGTAAGATATCTAAATAACGAAAGATGAATAATAATTAAATAAAAAGGAAATAAGTAATTGAAAAAATTACATGTGATGAATTTTGTTAGAGGGAGGGAGAGGGTGGATTAAGAAAGTATCTTTTTCAGATCTTTTATGTGTAAAAACAAATTTCTCATGTGTAAAAAAGGAGATGAGATCATAAACTAAAAACAAAGTTTATAATGCTAGTGATATTGATGAATGAGTCTAGCTACTTTTTACTTATAGGAGTACTAGTACAGTCATTTTACTTTGGGATTTCTTTTGTTCCTATACAATATTTGAAACTTATTTATCAAAATTATTCTAATTTTGTATATTACCCGCTCTAAACAAGGATTACTTACAAATTATATACATTTCACCTTAAAAGGATCTCAATCCATTATTAGTGCCTTCAATCAAGTGATTTAGTTACACTTTTTTCTTTTTTTCTCTCATCTCCCCTCTTCTCTTCGGATCGAACTTATATTTAGGGATTTCTGTTTAATAATTATTTCGTGATACATTCGTCAAAGCCATGAGATACTGTTGAAGTTGTCATTTTTCTTTTTTTGGGTCTTGGTTTTATGTTTTGGCGGGTTTTTTTAAAAATCAAATTGTCTCCTTTTATTAAAACTAGATTGAGAGTAAAGTTGAGGGGTTAAAGCCCATGGTTACATAATCTCTATCTCCTTTGTTTATACCTATTAACGTGTAAACAAATGAAAGAAAGCTATAGTTAAACACTCATGGTGGTTCGAACGGAATCCCTACCTCTTTCAATTGTCTTATTCTGAATGAGGCCATATCCCACTTATCCAGTTGAGCGAGACCCCTAGCCAGCAGTTGTAGTCATTCATACCTTGTGTAGGTGATATGCTGCTTTTGGCGGTTAATATTTTCGATTAAATCATTAAGCACAATTTTATGCTACCTAGTTAATTTCTCACACAAAATTCAAATCTCACATAAAACTCACTTTCTCCGAAGTGCGACGATGACGCTTTTAATGTGAAACTCGAAATTTCTCCACCCAAATCATTTAGTTCCCATCAATATTCAAGTTTTTTCGTTCAAACAAATATGAATCAGTTCACATGTATCGATTTGGAATCAATGGTGTGTCCTTCTTCCTCTCTAAAATTCCGTTCAAAACTTACTCTCTTAATACAATTTTGATACATATCAACAACTTTATGTAAAAAAGATAGTATTGATAATTTAAATACAAATTGTATACAACGATTCATACATTATACAACTATTTTTCAACTTTCATACAACATTCAAATAAAAAATATATATAACTACAACAAAATATAATTTATATACAATTATAATACAACTTTACTACAATTTCGTAAGTATATTGTATGTCATATGTTTTTCTTCTTCTTCTTCGAATTTCAATCTGAAATTCAGCCAAAATCTTAGTCAATCAATTAAATAGAATGAAGAAAAAAAATAATCATATAGCATGAGAGAATGAAAGAAAAGAGAAAACAGCCGAGGACACACGCTGAACCACAATATCACGAATTCATGAGTTTTTAGTTAAGATGTATGTATAACTAATTCAATTAAGTTTTCTATCTTTCCATAGTGATTTGGAGAAAATAAGTCTAATGTATGTGGTGTGTTATTCTTCCTCTCTAAAATTCCAATCAAAACTTACTTTCTTAATACAATTTTGATACATATCAACAACTTTATGTAAAAAGATAGTATTGATAACTTAAATACAAATTTTATACAACGATTCATTATACAACTATTTTTCAACTTTCATACAACATTCGAATAAAAATTTATATATAACTACAACAGAGTACAATTTACATACAATTATAATACAACTTTACTACAATTTCGTAAGTATATTGTATGTCATGTTTTCTTCTTCTTCTTCTTCTTCTTCTTCTTCTTCTTCTTCTTCTTCAAGTTTCAATCTGAAATTCAACCAAAATCAAATCTAATCTTTACCAAACACCCTCAAAATTGAGATATAAACTCCAAACTATATTCTCAATTGTTTGCAACAACACCCAATCCAAACAAATAATAATTTTTGAAAACCCAAATTCGATTTCAAAGCTTCAAAGCTTTTTAATGGTTGTCAATGGTGGAGAGTCAAACACCTTCAAAATTTATTGATTGACAATTTCATTTTAAACACCAATTTTGTAACATGAAAGGAAATTGCTAAATTAAAACTCTATAATAAAACAATTAAAATATATTGATGAATTCCATTAAAAATATATACAACATGAAAGGATAAAACGTAGAGAACATCAAAGGAATTAAAATTGGGAAAAGAACAAAGAATGAGAGAGAGAGAGAGAGAGAGAGAGAGAGAGAGAGAGAGAGAGAGAGAGCAAGAACATGTATGGGAAATAANGAGAGAGAGAGAGAGAGAGAGAGAGAGAGAGAGAGAGAGAGACGGAGAGAGAGAGCGCAGGAGAGCAAGAACATGTATGGAAAATAATTGATTCCTTATTCAATTCCTAATTTAAAGGGATATTCATTTAAAACTAATTTATATATAATTGGTAAATTATATATGACCATGTAATTAAATTAAAACTTGATTAGGGAGGATAATAAAATTTCATATGTAGTATAGGAAGGTAAAAATCCCTTTTACTTTTTAGTTTAAAGTGTAAATTTGGCTAGTTTTCTCTACAAAGGTTATTATTGGTATAAATAATCTTTCTTGACAGCTATTTTCAGCTATTTTCTCGACACCAAAACGCTCCCTAAAAAGAAGGCTGGCTTGAGTGAGACAAACATCATTTGAGGCTAGCGACAAAAAAACAGCTGAGTTTATAGGGCGCCTTCGACTTCCATAACTGCTTCCAAGGCCAAACTATGTTGTTGTCCCCTTCACTGTTACATGCCCTGTAACAGGAATTAACAGAGGAGATTCCAGTATTCTGTCTTATCCATTGTATAGTGTAAGGTTCTTCATTCAATGCCGCCACCTCTAAATCATGTGATAGTAGCGCCACTACGGGAACTTCCCAGTCAAAACAATATCAAAAGCTCTAAGTACCAGTTATTTCCATTTCGACAATCAGTACAACTTTGATCAACCTCAAATCCAATCTTCCGCACCTTCCATAACCACAACAAACCCGGTGTAATCTCACAAGTGGGGTATGGGGAAGGTAGTGTGTACGCAGACCTTACCCCTACCTTGAAGGTAGAGAGGCTGTTTCCAATAGCCAAATTAAAATCATGTTCGTGAGATTTACATTCTTGCTCACAAGTTCCATGAAAATTTTCTTCAATTTTGTCCAAACCAAATCCAAGAACCCAACAATTTTCCATAGGCTACAAGACTTAATTTTTACACTATATTCCCATATTACAATCCTTTGTCTTTGCAATATATCCATATATAGCATATTCTCCACTGTTTCTCAATGAGCGGGAAGTGGTCCCAAAATCTGTAACCTAGAGTTCCATCCCAGGCAAGTTTATGTCCTCAATCCATCTATCCTAGTATGGTCAACCATGTGGGACCTGAAACTCATTTGGTTTGATAACACAACTGCAACTAGATCTTTGATTACACCTCTGAGAACTACCACTAGAATGTTTTTCATGCTCATTGATGAAGGACTACCATGAAGTCAACCAGCAAAATCAAGAGAAGGTAATGGAAGCCCATATGTCATATACGTATACCTTTGACGTCAAGTTCACAGAAGATAGGTATATGCATATCGCTTGTCTCAGCATCGTAGTCCCTGAAGAAAAAACATTAGGTTTAATTTTCAGCTATTAAAGAAACAAGTGAGATGTCACTTTTCACCAAAAAAATTTATAACTTGGAAGCACAACAAAACAAAATAGACATCACTGAGTAAGCATTTGATACCATTATATACCGGATAGGGAAACCTCACAGAAACCATAGAAAAGACATGAAGACTACCCCACCCCACCCCCAAAAAAAGAAAAACCATAACTCAAGAATACTGTCCTAACATGGGTTGGACACCATACGCAAGCTCAAGGAAAACACGAAAGTCCTATATGAAGAGTCATTGGGTATTTGTAAACATTGTGCATTGTTTGCAAAAGTTGCAACCAATTTGGGGAAAATATTGATTTGCAGTATTAAAACTAATCAAATATGCCTTCAGAAAATCTTTTCTTATAGTATGTGATATCTAATATGATAACAACTTTATCAGGAAGTGGCAGCAAGTGGGGAGCCAAGAAACTAAACTTAAAACTTAGTAAATATGTGCTTTTTGACAAAGACTGTCATTGTGATTCCCAAGCATGAACTACCAAACTGGTAGATCAAAGAACTTACGCTTAGAACCATAAGGAAATCGAGGTCAACCTTGATGGAAATATTTATGACAGCTCTAAAAAAAGGCCCTCCTAAGTCCAAAAGCACATTTCTGAAAAAGAAGCACCCCTCTGCCAGGATGATGTCTCACTAACAGGCAGTTCGTTGGAGAGCAAATGTCAAGTTGAGCACCAATACATATCTTCTCCAGCAAGTAATTTCTCCTTAATTTTCCACGATCAATCAGGCAAATTTCACATTAGCTACCAATTCCCTAATGTCAAAATAACAAACTTAAAACAAGAGGGCTTATTTGCAGTTCTACATATATGAAAGAGATATTGCTTTTCTCTAAGCAAGCCCTACGGATTAGATAATTTTGACAAGAATAGAGAAAAAATAAGGAGTAGAAATCTCCCTTAAAGACAAAATACTAACTACATAGAAAATAGTACTCCCTCTGTTTCTAACTTATGTGAGCCTATTTCCTTTGTACTACGTTTAAAAAAGAATGACCCCTTTCTAAATTTGGATACAATATAATTTTTAACTTTCCATTTTACCCTTATTGAGATGATTTATAGCCACACAAATATCTATGGATTGTTTTAGACCGCAAGTTTCAAAAGTCCACCATTCTTTCTTAAACTATGTGCCCAGTCAAATAGGTTCACATAAATTGAAACGGAGTGAGTTAGACAGCAACTAGTAGAGCAATTGTGTACCTTTGTGGTACACCAGTAAGGAAATGCAAAAAGGAAGAAGCAGAAATCTCAAAATGCCAAAATTTGATGGTCATAATCTTCATTTTGCATAAACAGCAAGGAGGTTAGAACTTGTCATCAGGAACAAAGCCTCTCTGCAGCATTTCATCATGGAAACGAAAAGCCTCCTTCAAGTTATCCAGAGAGACATGTCCATTTATCAATGATGTATATGTGGATTTGTCAGGGTTAATACCCCTCTCGACCATTTTTCTATACAGCATGTTGGCTTCCTTCATTCGACCAAATTTACAGAAACCATCCAGTATGGTATTATAGGTAATCACATCAGGTGACAGCCCTTGATTTCCCATTTCATTAACCAAGTCTAAAGCTTTATCCATATTCCCCTCTCTTATAAACCCATCAAGAAGAGTATTGGAAGTAACTGAATCCGGAAATATTCTTTGGGACCGCATGTTGTTCAGAAACTTATCTGCCCTCGAAGCATCACCAGACCTGCAATAGCCCTTGATAATAGAGTTGCAAGTCACAATAGTAGGTTTGATACCTAGGTCAATCATTTCATCCCATAGTCTTAATGCATCGGATACGCAACCCTTGTTACAAAAGCCATTTATGAGAATACTGTATGTAATATAATTAGGAGAAATACTCACAGAGATCATCTCATCCCTTAAGTTGAAAGCTTTTTCCATATCACCAACCTTACAAAATCCATCAATCAAGCTGTTGTATGTCACAACGTCAGGCTTGAGGTTTCTCAGCAGCATGCCCTCAAATAGGGTCAGTGCTTTGTCCATGTTACCACACTTGCAACATCCATTTGTAAGCGTAGTGAAAGTGTAAAAATCAGGATTTACACCTCTTTCCACCATCTCATTGAAAAGCTCATCAGCTTCATGAAGCATCTTTTCTTTGCATAATCCATTCAATATGGTATTGTAAGTCACCACATCCATATGCAAACCCTGCTCCAGCATTTCATCACGCATCTTCATAGCCTCCTTCATAGATCCATTTCTACAAAAACCACCGATGAGAATTGTGTAGACTACATTATCTGGTGTAAGACCCTTGGATTTCATATCCTCATAGTACGCCAATGAGCAGTCGAGACGACCCGTTCTTGAAAACAACCCAATAAGAGAACTATAACTAACCAAATCAGGGATGATAGCTCGACACAACATTTCTTTGAAAACAGATTCTGCTTCCTGCAAGTTACCTGTTCTACAGCACTCAGCAAGCAAAGTGTTATAACTAGCGGTATCAGGGGCCAGTCCGCTCTCTGCCAACTCAACCAAAAGTTGCCGTGCTCTACTGTAATGTCCATTCTTACATAAACCATTGATTATTGAATTATAAGTCAAAAGACACGGTCTCAACCCTGTAACTTTCATCAAGTTTATCACTTCATAGGCTTCTTCC